TTCTAGTGATACAATGTTGTAACAGGCTTTCAAGTCTGGCTTCACCTTTCAAAATAGCAGTATTTATAAAGTGGCAACATTAGCCATAAAATATGGTCATCACAGTCAAACGTAAGGGACAACTGCCTGCAGCCCAACACCTTTAACACCAAATGCTTTTAGAGTAAAATAATACCACTAGGAAATTTACAGCATTGTATAACATTCTCATATTTGGACAGGCAACTACAGGCAAATGCTACATTCACGGAACTTGTGAAGATAAACCAAGACATTTCAGAGATCCCAGCTCATTCATAGTACTAAAAATGAAATCGTGACCTCCAGGTCACATATAAACAAGGAAGGAAGGTACTTCAGAACATGCAAAAGGGAACCTACCAGTATTGGAGAGTGCATCACTCACAAAAGAATTAGGACATCCTTTAACAGAAAGCAATTAAAAGTCACCTTATCCCTAAATTAGCATCAGACTTGCCAAAAAGTTAAATCCTTCCTCCACGTTTAAGAGACAACGCCAATGTTTGGAGTACAGTTTGATGCTGTACTAGAACACACTCACATTCTCTATGAACTGCGTGTTGGACAACATAAGAAAGTCGTTGAAGACATTATGAAGGCGACAGTCTGTAGCTTTTGTTTCACTAATCAATCCATCCACTTGTTTTTTGATTTCATGAGTCCTGGAAATGGTTTGTTGTGAGAACTCTTGTAGAAAATGCAAAAGCTGTTGACAACAGAGGAAAGCAATAGTCAGCATGCAGCTCTTTTTCCTTTTGGCAGAACTGACCATACACTTCAACTGAGCATCAAAACAAACACAGTTTAAAGGACCCGCACACACCCCCAGGATCAAGTCTCAGCCACTTCATTCTGCCTCTCCTTTGGGGCCAACTCCTCACTTCAGTTTTCCCGCTCGGACCGGAGGGTTAAAGCTCCGGGACAGCCGCCTGGCCCCGACCGGGGCCGCTCCTGCCGCGTTCCGGGGCCCCGGGTGTCCGCGGCCACGGCGCCCCTCCCGCGCTGGGCCACCCCCGAGCCCCGCGGCAGCACCGCCCCGCACCCGGCCCCGAGCCCCGGGGAGGCCGCGGCCCGCGCACCCCTCCGGTGCCGGGCTCCGGCCCGGTGCCGGCCGCACCGCTCACCCCGGCGTCCGAGGCCAAGGACCAGCTCTGGCTGCCCTTCCGGATCTCCTCCAGCGACCAGGGCCGCTCCCACACGGGCGCCGGCTCCGCCGCGTCCCCGTTCATCTGCGGGAGAAGGACAGTGAGCGCGGGGCCGCCCTCACCGGCCCGCGCGCCCCGGGCCCGGCCCCGCGCTCACCGCGGCCTCGCGCCGCCGCCCGCCGTCAGCTGAGCGCGCTCACGTGACCCCGCCCCGCCCAGCGCGGGAGGGCCGGCAGGGGGCGCGAGGCGGCGCGGGCGGAGCGATCCCATCCAATCCCATCCCGTTCCGTCCCATCCCATCCCATCCCGTTCCGTCCCATCCCATCCCATCCCGTTCCGTCCCATCCCGTCCGATCCCGTCCCATCCCGTCCCGTCCCGTCCCGTCCCGTCCCGTCCCCTCCCCCCCCCTCCTTTAATTACTCTCCATATTCACTGAAATGTGCAATTAAATCCTTCGTTGATAATCCAGATTTCTCGTGGCACAGACCTTCGTGCATTACAAAACATGAGATCTACGTGCTCTGTGCGTACTGATGCTGCAAAATGTACGGTCCTACCATCAGGCAGCTTCAGGTCCGGGGGTCTTGCAGATTAGTTTCCATTAAAAAAAACAACATGACAGCTACGTGGAACCTGAATGCTTCCTTAGGGAAAGTTGTTTATTTGTGATACATACACCAGCTTCTGAGTAGAGAGGGCTATGAATGGCACAATCAGAATCTGCTTTCTATTAGTCCCATCCTAAACATTACAAGAAGGGTTCAAAAAAGCATTTCAGTCCTAAAATTCCTTTTAGAAAGGAATTTAGACAGGTTCCTTTTAAAGGTTAGAGAGAAGATGACAGCAAGAAAAATCACTGGCTCTTCCTCTCACAACTTTACAAGTGATGATGTGATGTAAAGGTATCAAAAATCATGTTTGTCATTGGGGACTAACCTGCAGATGAAGAACCAGAATATTTAAGACTGCACAGGGCTCAACTGTCTGATATCCATGCTTACAGGCATGCCTTAGCCCAGTGGCATCATTTGCTGCTTGTACCTGGCCATGAGATCTCTGTTGAACTTCCATAGCAGAGCAGAGTGCTGTTGGAATCAGACTGGGGGACAAGTTCTTTCCTGCATGGCTGTAAGGACAGAAGTTACAGTAGACAGGTGTACCTTTTAATCCAGCCAGCCCCATGCAACTACTCAGCCTCATATATTTGCAGCAATGTGAAATGAGCCAGAGATCTTTTGGCAGGACTCTGAAAGGCTGCAGTGAAAGTGCAGGGCCAGGCAAGCAGGTTACTGGAAGATCCCTGTGGATCACAGAGGTGGACCAGAGTACAGGACACAAAGGTTTTGAAGAAAATACACAAAAGGCAGCTTTGAGAAGCACAGCACATACTGCAGTTGCTGCGCTCTTCTGCCCACCAGTTTCTGAAGAGCTAACATAGCATAATGGGATGCTATAGTTGTGAAGATACGGTGAAAGAGGAGGCAGACCTTTATAGATCTCTTCCTCATTCCACTTCAGCCTATTTTCTGCAGTGTTGCTCCATGATGCAAAAAGCCACTGACTATCCTGAAGCTGCTTGTTAGCTCTGCCTAAAAATTTACTACCTGAAACTGCTGCCAGACCATAAATCCTCTGGTTCAGATGAGTCAACGCTGAAAACTGGGGACTATACAGATGAAAGTTTGTTGCTCTAGTGGAAAAATTTGCCTACATACTGACTTGACATCAGTTATATGCCTCAAATTACATCTGCCTCTGGGGTTTCCCTACAGAGTTGGGGATAGAGACACAAATGTGTAAATCTGTGACTTTACGTCCTCAATGTAGTAATGAAATTAGCAGAGTTGGACCAAGCAGTGGAGTCCAATCCTGGCACACTTAGGGATTCTGTGCTATAGCAATCTGGATGATTTTCTCCTGGCTTGGATCACTAAGCTTCCTTCCTGTGAAACCAAGGCAAAAGTAGTGGGAGGGGTACTACAAACAGCTGGAATTATCCAGATCAAAGAGCACACTAGTACTCCTTAATCCACCAATTTAAACATAGGTTGAGTTAGCCTCAAGTCTTGTTCTTTATGTCCAACATCTGCAAACATTATACCAAGAAGCAATTGCAAAGCAAAGCAGGAGGTCCAGTATCTATGCTCTTGCACAAGCTGACACCTATTTTTTTCCCATGGACTTGGCCCCCTAGTGGGTACCTACAATTTTTTCCATATGTCCATAGGACTGCACAGAAATTTTAGCAGCTACAGAATGGCTGTAGGAGGCTAAAAGCAAGGTGATGCAACATTGAAATTAATTTGAAGGCCAGTATTGCACACCTGTTATGTATGATCCAGGTCTCTTCAGAACCTCTGCAGAGCTGAAAGCAAACATTTTCCTTTGGAGTGGATCCTGACTGCTCTCAAACCAAGGAGTCGATTGTTTTGTCCAGAAAATATCCCTATAAACAACATAGCTAGCTTTATGCTAGGCCATATGCAACTGTATTAAAGAACACACACACAGAGATTATGACATAACAGGAAATGCTCTGCATTCATACAGGATTATTAGGGGGATCTGATTTTTCTCCTTTACTTATTTTTTAAACTGTTTTTGTGAAGTGGTTACTAAATTCGCATTAGCTTTTGTCCATGAGGAAATTATAGCACACATTGAAAAAGAAATTAGAGTCTCGATGTGACACAGAATATATATATTTAAATATGTTTCCCTCTTCTTGATATTCTGAGTCATGATATGCCATATGGCTAGCCTGGGTAATTTTTTTTCCATGTGGATAAAAGTTTTGGCAGACGTACTGCTTAAACAGACACACAGCACTTGGTTAAACTCACAAATATTTACAAAGTAAAAAATTAAAGAATACCACAGCCAGCTTTCCCAATAGCTAACAGAAAGTAAATATGTTTTTACAACTTTAGAACAGGATGCAAACAAAAGAGAAAGTCAAAACACAATTAAAAGTTAAACTTCTGCATCACATGGGAGAGAACCCCAACACAATTTGTGCATTGTTCTTCATTTTCCCTGCCACTCCTTGTTCTCATGCATGGGTTGTGTTGTATGGCTTGGTACACATAGAGAGAGATGTGTTGTTCAAGCCCTGCAATTACCAGAACTCCCCAGTCTCCAAGAGGTAGTCCCAGCACCTGCATTATCTGCAGACTGCTAAAGGTCTTGGGGTTGACGAGCAAAGTCAGGGCTTGAAGATGCCTCAGACTTTGGCACACAGCGCAGAAAGGAGTGTCTATAGCTAGAAATAAGTACATATTTTCTGTCACCGGACCAGCACAGGAGACTGAAGCCCCCAGACATACTTCCCTTCCTGCTTCGTGTTCATTGCTGGTTAATGCATTGACAGAACACATCGCTTGCCTATTAGTGTATTTATTCATTTCAGGGAATTCAAAATCAGCTTTACTGTAAATAATTAATTATAACCCAAGCACACTATGATTACCACTATGATTACCCATGTCACCTAAAAAGACCTTGTTGTAGTGAGTCAAATGACTTACTGCAATAAGTCGTGCAAGCAGGAAAAAAATAACCAGGCTGATAAATTCTATTGAGGTAATTAGAAATCCTAGGAAAAACAAAATCCACAGTAAAACTGGTAATCCTCTAAAGGAACTTGGACTTGGACACACATGGTTTCCCTCATGTGGATTTGATCCTTCTTTGATCCAAAAAGTTCATCTCTGATGGTAAAATCATGGGCTTGGAGAACAGCCATTACCCTGAAGTTCCCTTGGTGAGGTGTAGGAGTACATACTGTGTGAGGAATGGGGGAAGTTGACTTTTTGTGTTCTGTCTCTAGATTCTGCATTCTTCTAGAGTCGGGTAATAAGCTCTAAAACTTGAAATCTCTGACACACCTAAGGAAGTCAGTCAAAGCCATGCACCAAGTCAGCATCAGAATGAAAAAATAAAAAAAGTTTCTGAATCACAGTTCCGTGGTTTTCTGCTTTAGCAAAACTTTTAAACATGAAACTCACAGGACTAATGAAATAGTGCTACCCTCCCCCTTTTGTCAACAGTCAAGAAGTTAAACTTCTCATATCAATTGTTGTATCATAGTTGATAAAGCAACATAGAGCCAGGATGACTGTGAACTTATGTTCCAGGTTAGATCCAGCATAGCCTTTCACCAGGTGAGTTCTTGAAAACAAGGAGTGGCTCCACTGGAGATAATGGGCTTAAGGATGCACACAAGTGGTTTGCTTCATCCAAGCCCTAAGATCTATTTTGAAGGCTGCAGAAGTTAATTGGAGTTTTACAGCTTTCCTCAGAAGGCTTTAAACCTATTTAAACTAAAGATTGTACTTCCAACATACTGGAGATTTAGTTATCTATGTGACTTATGTGCAAATATTTACCTGCATGATAAATAAATGCTATGGAATCAGGAGTGAACTTACCAAAAAACTTATTCTCTCATCAAGTATTAATCCACCATGAGGACACTAGCTCTCTGGCTGTTCAGGATCTGAAAGGGAAAGCTTTTTTGATGGAAAGTAAGAACACTGAATCATAGAATGGTTTGGGTTGAAGGTGACCTTAAAGATCTATAGTTCCACCCCCACCTCTGCCATGGGCAGGGATACCTTCTACTAGACCAGGTTGCTCAAAGCCCCATCCAGCATGGCCTTGAACACTTCCAGGGTTGGAGCATCCACAGCTTCTCTGGGCAACTTATTCCAGCATCTCACCACCCTCACAGTAAAGAATTTCTTCATAATATTTGTCCTAAATCTGCCCTCTTTCAGTTTAGAACCATTACCCCTCAACCTATCACTGCTCTCCCCATCTCTCCTATAGTCCCCCATTAAGTACTGGAAGGCTGCTATAATGTCTCTCCAGGGCCTTCTCTTCTTTACTTGCTGCAGGTTGACTACTGCTGGAGATTATACATCAGTCCTGATATACAGAAATGGCCTTTCCCGACTACAACAGTGAAAATCTAGCCTAGCAGATTACAGTATGGTGTTTCTCTTCAAGAACATTATTCTAAACTCTTGCTTATACTCCAGAGTTACTTAACAGTAATGAATTTAAATTAGTTTTTAAACCAGGGCAAAAACATTTAGTTGCACTTAAAATGAATCTCTGTAGCAGTTTAGCTGAGAGGGAATTTACTTAAACTACTGTTACTAAACTGCTCGTTAAACCTAATGCTTGGTGTAAATCACCATAAAGTTCACCTTTAAAATAAAATAAGAACACTCACTAGGTTTTACATCCATTTAACTGGAGAGTTTTTAAATAGCCTAGAAGTGAAACCAGATGGATGAGGCTTTTTTTTCTTTCTCCAGCTCTGAAAATATACTCAGTGAATGGCCTGGTGACAGTAGATTACCTTAAACAGCAAGTTGCTGGCAGGTCATGAAACAACGTTTTGGGGACAACACAAGGGTAAATAAATGGCATCACCTTCCATCACCACAAAACCACCTGCCCTTTAGAAGGTCCTATGAAGGTACTTTTAACCAATAAAAAAGTAATATCATAATAGCTGTACAGGATAACATTTTCAGAGATTTCTCCAGGTGTCAACACTTCAGAGGAAAGTCTTCCTGAGAAGTTAAAAGAGACCAGACATGTTTAGCAGCATTCAACTGGGAAACTAGGAAAGTTCTAAGTACGAAATTCTTACAGCTGTCCTACCAACAAAACCTTAAAAATGTTATCTGCTTTTTAGTAGTCTTGCATTCAGAAAAGGCAGATCTTCAACACTGTTTTCATAATCCAGCTATCAGCTTCATAGGAATATTGAAAATTATCAGAAATGGCAGAGCTGATCACAAGGATAATACACTTTTCATGGGAGAGCCTGTCAGGCAGTTTTGTCTCTCCTCATGCTACATAACAAGTGGTGACAAGCAAATTAGTGCAGTGCTATGGAAGCAATCATTCTTGGAAAAAAAGTGTGTTAAAAAAGGAACTCACTGAAGACATAGCCAGATCTAAGACTTTAAGAAGGGACTAAATTCTTTTAGAGCAAGATCTGCATATCCTGAGGTAGGAGGTTCAAAGGCACACAGGAACGTCAGCTGACCAGCAGACAATCCACAGAACAGCTGGCAGAGCTCTGGCATCTTTGTCAAGAAATCACTGGCAGAAGAATAAGGTGTTCTGCCTAACAAGCACTTTGAAAGCAAAACCAGTCTTGCTTTGAGGTCTCTATCAAAAAACCACAAAAAGAATGGCATAAAATTTCCTGTCAAGCCCAGGGTGACCTGGTGTTAGCAAAGCTCATGCACGTGGTAGGTAAAAGGAAGGGAACTGTTTTTACAGTGGTGCAAGACATAGGTTGGTGCACATCAACTACAGTTTCTCTACATTTGTATGAAAGCCTTATATTATGAGATCTGGGAGAAAATATACAATCATTGCTGATAGAGTTTCCAAACAATGCTTAATATGACAAATAAGGGCTAAGTCTTAATAGTGAAATAAACTGTTCTTAATTAATTCATGCTTTAGATAAGATTTTTTTAAAAAATTTGGAGGAATTTTTTAAAACTCTGTAAAGCATAAAATTTGTACTAACAACAGTGCCCTTGAGAAGAATTTAGGGATGGAAAGCAAATGTTTTCTATCTAAAACAATATGATGCTTAAGATAGAGGATGAGATGCCTGGATATATATACAGGAAATGTCCTTCATAGTATCTGAGGTCATTTCCACAACACTTACAAGCTTTTACACTTTGTTCTATATTTAGATTTGAAATGAGATACTGTGAGGTTGGAGGCTGTTCAGAAATGGGTTGCAAGAATGAAAGGAAATCTATGCTACAGAACTGAAGACAAAAACTGCTGTGCTCCCCTGAGAAAGGTTGTAAGCTGAATTGCCACACTGTACACAAAGACAAGAGGAAGACTTTTGTGATAAAGTACAATAATCTAGTATGCCAGAAGCAAAGGATGGGAAAGGATATTTACTGAATTTTTTCAATGAAAACATGAATATCATGAAATGTAAGTTTTACAATATATGACTATATCAGAAAAAAATAAAGCAGGTTTATAGTCTGAAAACTGAATGCTTAGTAACTTTTCATTAATTATGGATTTCTTACTAAAGGATTATCAAACCTAACAGACTTCAACTTCAGCATTTCCTTTAGGGAGGTAATGGAATTACGTTGTGATGAACTAAGATTTATTTTGCTGAATTCTTTGGGTTGAATTGTTATTAGCACTCAGCAATACATAGTACATAGGAAAAAAGGAACGACAACTTTTCTTTCCACCATTCCAAAGTATATAACTGTATTTAGTTTACTCAAAAAAAAAAAAAAAAAAAAAAAGACCCTAAATGATTTAAGTTGTAGTACAGCCAAATTTTCCTGGATTTCTGTGTTCAAAGTTTCTAAGCCTTGAAATCATGTGCTAAATTTCCCGTAGCAGATGACAAGTGCCCCACAGGGATGACTTTCAAATTGCTTGGAAGCATCTGCAACAAAGTATTTTTTAAATATAAGTAGGGCCACAGTCTGGTATTTCTTTCTGAAAAGATGTTGCAGGAGCAAGAAAAGGCAGAGCACTTGATTAGCACTCTGAAATTTATAATTTCTTGTGTAAGTTTTGCACACATAAAAGTGATCATATACTCTATCACAGTTATTCATCTCAAAGCCTGAATACTGCCACGGGAGTAACAGCAGGCTTTTGATTTGAGAGGAAATTCTTATTTCTGTTGAGGAGAAAGAGAAATGTTGTAATGTGATCCAGGTTTGATTAAGATCTCAGTGTTAAGTGGTTTTAATACTGGTAATGGCCAAGTACCTTCGGTTGGTTATCTTTCAGTGCACACTGCAGCATTAAGCGTGAGTTGGCAAATATCCAGCAAAAGCTCCTGTTGCTATTGACACCTAGTTCACTACTCTCAGCATATTCCAGCCCACTGATAGCAGAAACAATTTAGCATGCACTCCTGCTACAGCTAAAAGTCACCTAGCCATATAATACTGCCTACAGCTTAACTATCAATACTTGTGTTTCATCAGAAAGGCATTTTTTCTAATCATAATGCTTCCAAGAAATGCAAAGTTCTAGACTCAGCATTTTACTTAGGTCAGTGTTCTATAAAATCAAATACTTTCTCATTGCCAGCTGGAAAAGTTTCAGTGATTTCTTCAGATATTTCAACATAACTGCATTTAAAAAAGAGCAGGCTCTTTTTGCCCCACCTAGACTTGAACTGCACAACATAAAGGCACCAAAAATTATTCACTCTCTGATTCCACATTAAGCCCTTCAGATTTCTTCTGAAGACTTGG